ATAATAATAATATCTTTATTGTCATTGCCCCCTCTCGGGGACAACGAAATTACTTGACTGCTCCATAAAAACACTAAGTAAAACAATACAGTATAGTACAGCAAGGAAGATTAGATGACTTTCAAAGTCCAGGCTTCCCATTCAGGGCCGAGATCGCTCTGGAGAAGAAGCTGTTCTTAAGACGGCTCGTTCTTGTCTTCATCGTCCTATATCTCCGTCCCGACGGCAGGAGCTCGAAGAAACAGTGACCAGGATGCGATGGATCTTTTACTATGTCCAGTGCCTTCCTATGGCACCTTGTGGCATAAATCTGCTCTAAGGTGGAGAGTGGGCAGCCAACAATGCTCTCTGCTGCCTTAACAACTCTGCACAACCCCATCCTGTCCTGGGTAGTACAGCTTCCGTACCACACACATAAGCCATAAGTGAGCACGCTCTCAATGGCACAGTGATAGAAGGCAAGCGGCAGTTTCTGCGGAAGATGGTTTTTCCTTAGAATTCTCAAAAAGTACAGTCTCTGCTGCGCCTTCTTCACAAGCCCCCGTGTGTTGACACTCCAGGACTCCCCCCCCCTTAAGTACATTCAGAGTTATTGTATTGCAACTTACTAATGCCGTTGTCCTTTCTACATCTTAATAATAAAAGTTTTAAAAGGCAGCCTAGAATTCTCTTAAATGGATAAACCACATGGGTGAGCAACAGTCTCAGCAGCCCTTCACCTTGGGTACAGGGCAAAAGGGATACTTTTGGGATAGCAGTATGGGTCTAGGGCAGGCATAGGCAAACTCGGCCCTCCAGATGTTTTGAGCCTACAATTCTCATCATCCCTGGTCCTTCTAGGGATGATGGGAGTTGTTGTCCCAAAACATCTGGAGGGCTGAGTTTGCCTATGCCTGGTCTAGGGCTAGGAGAGCTCAATTACAGAGGCAGGCTAGGCAGCTGCCTAGGACACCTGCCATGCAAACAGGTGAGTACCAAATCTTCATGTTTGAGCATGGCTGGTTCCCCTCAGAAGCAGAGAATGTGCCCCAAAACCCTTTTGCAACATCACAGTGGCTCACACTGCCAAGAGGGCTTGAAGCTGGATAAAAGTGCCTATTCACTAAATTTGTTTCTCAGCACTCACTTATAAAACTTTCAAGATGGTATTCAAATTGATCATCCACCGAAGAATACACAGTATTTTTCTCTTTCTCTCTCGGAGACACATATTGCACAGTATATATAATATTGTTAGTTAGCAGACACAATCTCATGTTGCAAATATCACTGCTCTCTTTATAAAAGAGGAGCTCTTGGCTTCATCTATAATCTATGTATGCTATATGTAATTATAGATGTGGTAATGAAAAGATGAAACTGACATCTACACAACATGTGCCAAAAATATTTGACCTGCAACCTTTTGGAAGCAAACCTGAAATCATTAGTAGTTTAGCCAAGTCTTACTCACCTGGAATTGCCACAGGCTAATAAATATGAAGGGAAAAAACCCTCTCTCCCAAGCATGTAATTTTACTAGAGTTGGGTGAGAGTGGCTTGTTTCGAAAGCAGTTGTTTCTCTCTCCTGTCTGGTACACACACTGTTTACGGTACACAAAAAAGCCAAGAAAATTGCCTGTTATGGGCTTCTTCCTTGTTTCAACTGGATACAAATCCAGCCAGACTAAGGCAAGGGGTGTAGTCCTAAATTGATCTGTTCAGGAAAGCCACAGTGGAAAAGCTTCTATTCTTCTTTGGAGGAATAAGTCCCAGAAGAGTAACAGAATCAATACTGTTGATTTCAGGGTGGGCATTGGATAAGGAAAAACAGCTCTATATAGCATTTAATCTTCTATTAAGGTTAAAAAATTAAGCGATCAGTCCCACACACATTAGTGCAGGACCCCAAGTAGGGGCTCCCAGACTCTGAACTTTCATTTTTTCCCCAAAGGAAGGTCTCCAGCCCTCCTGGAAAGAAAGTCATGAAGCAAAATGTGCAGGAACCTTCCTAAGTGATTTCCAAAGAAAATGCAGAAGAACTATTGAAATAACAACGGGAGAAAGAAAGTACCTACAGTAAACCCTGCAGAGAACCCCAGTCACAACTTGGTTGCAATTACATTTCTACTGAACAGGAATAGAGCACATGTCCTGCAGGTGTGAGGTCCCAGTTCAATTCCCAACACCCTCCAGGTTACAGAGCGGGGAAACCCCCTGGCCAGAGGATGTGGAGAGCCGTTGCCAGAAGACAAGACTGATCTAGATGGATCAACAATCTCACAACAAGGAAGCTCTTCTGTTCATAAGGTAAAGGTAAAGGTACCCCTGCCCGTACGGGCCAGTCTTGACAGACTCTGGGGTTGTGCGCCCATCTCACTCAAGAGGCCGGGGGCCAGCGCTGTCCGCAGACACTTCCGGGTCACGTGGCCAGCGTGACAAAGCCGCATCTGGCGAGCCAGCGCAGCACACGGAAACGCCGTTTACCTTCCCGCCAGTAAGCGGTCCCTATTTATCTACTTGCACCCGGGTGTGCTTTCGAACTGCTAGGTTGGCAGGCGCTGGGACCGAGCGACGGGAGCGCACCCCGCCGCGGGGATTCGAACCACCGACCTTTCGATCGGCAAGCCCTAGGCGCTGAGGCTTTTACCCACAGCGCCACCCGCGTCTTCTGTTCATAGGTCCTACCAAAAATAAGTAACAAAGTCCCTAGGTTCAAACATATATATTTTTTTGCAAAATAAACAGGAACTGTTCTGTCACCGCTGCTTAAAAACTTGACTCAAAATGTATTTCAATGTACCAAGCACCTCATCTAAAGATTTTTCATAAAATAAATGACAGGAGATTTAATTAAAACCACATAGGAAGCCCTCCCCACACATTTTGGGGCTATCCACTCCCACAGAGAAGGACTGGTGTACTGTGCACGTGTGCACATAGACACACACCAATACACACTCTCACACACAAATATGCTTCTTTCATCAGAACTCCAATCCATGGACACAAATTGCTGTTGATAAACCTGAAGAAGTTACAAATGCTCAGAGCTTTAGAAACTGGTGGCCCTTTCTATCTTGTGATGACAGGAGGCAACAACTCAGGTATGCTCCACTTCAATGGCCCCTCCTGAACTCCATCCCCTTGGCCTTTCCCCTGCCGCATAAACTGAGCCCCTGGTGCCCATGGTAGTGAAAATGCAGGCGTGGGAATTCAAAAGATCTGTGCTGCTGCTGTGCGCACAGCACCCTCTGCATGTTCCACACTGGCAACAGGATCTCTGGTGCAGGTGGCTGGGGCGCCTGGAATCCGTGGAAGATTCCAGTGAAGGTCTCAGAATAAACTGCTTTGAGGTTCAAACCCCAAGTCCCCTGTATTCAGGCAAAAGCCCTGCTGCTTGGCAACAGAATTGGGTCTGTATTCACAGGCCAAGTCAGAGGCACAAAGATCTATCCCCACCCCCCATCCGCCATCCTGGAACAGCCATCTATTTTAAATCTAGACAAAATTATGCATTGTACTTGCTGGTTTGGGTTAACAGGGTAGCACAGGGTAACAGCTGAATTTAGATGATAACATTCTAAGAAAGAGCAACTGCCCGATTTCAATATGTTAATTTTCACCCAACAATTAAAAGTGTACTCTTCTGCATGCCTACTCAGAAGCCAGTCTCACTGAGTTCAGTGAAGCTTACTCCCAAGTAAGTGTTCATTGAACTGCAGCCTAATTTGGGCAAGCATTCCTGTCGACATAATAAAACAGGAGTTTTCTTTCTCATCATTGATAAAAAAAGAAAGAAAGAAAATGAAGGAAGTGAGCAGTAAAGTTTCATAGCTCAATAAAATGCATATCTGAACCCCAATTCCACAGGTTTGGAATTGTCTAAATGTCTGAATTATGAGAAGCTACCATATAAAGTTCAGTTCAGAGTACCAGCAATCGTATTCTTTTGCAACGTATATATAATAATTGGGTATTTCATAGTAACTCTCAATTTAAAAGGCTCATAAAACCTGTGCTTTACTCATAACCTCCCTGAGGACAGGAGAAAAGCCTGAGGGTAACACCTTCCTCTCAGCCAGGGGTGATATGAAGATCATACTTTATTATTACAACAAGTTCATTCTCAAAGCTTCACCTTCCTAGCAGAGCATTATTTGCAAAAAATAAAAATCCACTTTGCAGGAATCCCCAAGCAAATGCACAGTAAGAGTGGGCAGATGGAAAACAAAGTTGTAAATTCTAGTTTCTCAGTTTTAGAGGTCCATTAAGACATTCCAATCAACATCAAAAGCAACCCACAATCCTTAAAAAAATAAAATCCTCTCATGCAATTACATCCGGTGGATACTTAATACTCTAAAGGTATGGCGTATTCGCAAACTTAAAGCGGTCTTGAAACACATTATTTCCCTCAAAGAATTATGGGCACTGCAGTTTACCCCTCAGAGAATTACAATTCCCAGCAGCTCTTAATAAAACTACAGCGCCCAGAATTCTTTGAGGGCCGAGGGAAACGTGCTTCCAATGTGCTTTAAAGGCATAGTGTGTATGAAGGATGAGTCTAAGTTAAAAAGTTTAAAGTGGTTCAACAATTAGAAAGCTATTACAAATAATACCAATTCAGAGGCAGTGAGAGGAAGACACAACAGCCACAGAGAATAGGGTTGGGGGTTTGTCAAGCCTTCAGTCATTCAGCTCACTGAATATAGCTTTAGAATATTCTTGGCTCTTTGTCTTCATTTTGCCTTTGCTTTGGAATCATGCCTAAAAACTGTTTTGATCACAAAAGAAACTAGCAAAGCCTAGGTTTTTCCTACCTGGTTCAGATAAGTACTAGCCCCCCCCCCCCGCCATCCTGGGATAACTGAGACTGGCAATCAAGCTCAGATTTAGACAAGACATCAGCATGAAGTACAACAAATCTGTCGTGTCCTCTCTTCTTGCATTTGCAAACTACATAGATCGAACAAGATTGATAAACCTGCTAGGCAAAAGCTGTATGAAAGGTGACTTACTGCTTGTCATGTGACTTGGTGAGGTATGCTGCCCATTGGGTGTGCTTGAGGTGAGGTCAATTGCCATATTGGAGTGATCCCTTTCGGGCGAAAGTTCATTGTCACCTATTCCATAGAAGAAAACCTTCTATCAGTTTCACAGAGGAAAATTGACATTTGTGTTCAAGTAAGAACATGTGCTTGCGAAGGGGAGGGGAGATTATATTTGAAAGCTCAGTTCCCAGCATGATTAGATTCTTCCACAGCTTAGGAAGGGTCATTTTCCACGGCAAAATATATTAGCTGCTGCTCTGGGACAGATATCACTCTGTACGCCCACCCCTTTTCATGTCATACTCAGTTACTTGACTTTGCATAGTATGTATAATTTTAAAAGCAGAATATGTCATCCCACAGGGAAGCATTAAAAACATATGGAGTACAAACATGAAAAAGTTACAGTCCACCCTGCTTCCCTTCAATGCACAGATCCAAAGCATATATGCAGTTACACTGAAGTGCCCAATATTTAGTATTTATTTAGTATTTAGTATTAGTATTTTAGTATTTAGTATTTCGTATTAAGAGTCACCCAACCCATGCTGTCTTGAATTCAATAAGAAAACAAAGAACATTGTGGCCCCTAAGCAGCAAAAGACACGAAAGAAAATAAAAGCAATACTTACATGGCATGTATCCATCAGTAGCCTCTGCTTCCATAGTCAAAGTGCAGTGCTGCAAGGCAAAAAGTACACTGTCAAAGTTGCCCTCGCTCTGTCAGTTATTAAACATCTGGGCTCCTAAGCCATTTGCCCATTTTCTGCTGCTGCTGCTATCAATTTAATCAGTGTTTGAGCAGCACAAGTGTCTCTGCCTAGGATCCTCCTGCAGGCATCCAAGTATTGAGGCAGGTAGAAAACTTTAAATGCCAGAAACAAACCTGTGCAGAAGAAAGAAAGTGGGAGGGAAACAGACACACACCTGAATCACCGTTTCCCTGTTTCTAAAGAAGTCCTGTTTGTGTCGGGTGTATTTCAAGGAAGATGCCAATGCTTTATCAGTAAACAGCCTTCTATTCTTCAGTCCACAGTGTACTTGCTAGTAAGTCTGACTGAACTCAGGGGGTCTTAACTGCCAAGTGAGAACTTTGGGATACTGAGCTGAACGTCTTGTGGGATGCCGGCACCGCAAGGTTTCCTGCACTGCAGTTGTTCCGTGGTGTCCTCGGCTTCAGAACAAGTAGGTGAGTCCATACTTTTTAAAAGCAGAGTTGCAGCAACTATTTTACCCAGGGTCCAGTTCATTCTAACTTATCTATTCTAGCCAACCCTGGAGCCCCTTCCAAAATACTTTCAGACCACATGCTCTATACTGTAGTAATCTCAAAAAGTTTCTTGAAGCACTTTACTAGCAGAGAACAAGCTATTACTTTCCAGAAACCTAAGTCACTGTATTAGATGACGCCCACTAGCTCAAGACTTGATTAAAAATAAAATGAAATGAAAAGGTTGGTCATCATCACCATATCATTTTAAGAGGAAACTTTAAAATGAAGGGGGGTGTGGAAATAATGGCAAAAGAAGAGTTTCAATTTTTCCTCTCAGTCCCCAGCTCCCTTTTGCCTTTAGTTTCAAAACTCCTGCTACACCAAGCAGTTAAATTATTCACAATGAGCCATTTCTGTATTGATCGCCAAGTATATTTAGACCCAGCTCCTGGAATTTCTCCATTACTTACTGGAAAACAGGCAGCTTCATTTCTTGTCTCCTAAACCACTTCCCTTCACCTCATCCCCCTCTTTTTTTTTAAATAAATAAATAAGATATACACTTTTCTGTGCCTTCTTCCCCCACTCTGCAAACTGCAGATCAAATTCCTAAGACACTCAGTATACATAACGCTTACATTTCAACAGGCAAAGCTGCCATCCAACTGATGCTTGCCTACATGGCTTTAATAATGATGATAATAAATATAACACACGAGCTCTAAATGCTTGAGCAGAAGAGCCGTCCCCTCCTGCCTCTTCAAAATTACCTTATCTTCCCTTTCCTGCAGGTAACACGCTCGGGAACAAGGGTTGGGGGGGGAGTTGTCTGAAAACAACAAGCTTTTGGTGGGGTGGTGAGATACTATCCCAGGCAATGAGATGGGAAGAAAGGAAAGGAACTATACAGGGTGGGGGAGGAGAGAGAGAAAAAGTTCTAGGATTAAAATAAAAGTTTGTTCACCATTTCTGGCTTCTGGTGGCAGCTTCTAACCCCTCCTCCCTGCCAAGAGCGAAGAGACAGAGGGGATTATGGTGCACTGGAGGTAGAGGCAAGATGGGGAAGCGTTTTGAAATAATCCAGCCCCTTCTCCTCCTCCTCCTCCTCCTCTTCTTCTTCTTCCCCCTCCCTCTCGCCTCCCCGCCTCCAGAGTTCAAGGGAAGAGGAAGAAAACTTACAGGTAGGTCACATTCAGAGCAAGTGGATCGGTGGGGAAACCAAGCAGAAGGAAGGAGAAAGGAGCGCCTCTCTCTCTCTCTCCCTCCCCACCCACCTTCTTTCCTCCCCCTTCCCCAGGATGGTCTTGTTGGAATGGCACGTACTTTCAGGAAAGATGAAGAACAAAAAGGAGAGAGAGAGAGAGAGAGGTCAGCCAAAGCGACAAGCAATGCGATTAACTAGACGAGAGAAAACTTGATCCACCGGTTCCTTAAGAATCGGGGGGGGGGAATCTTGGAGGAAAAGAAAGGGGGTGCTTGGAAGGCGTGGATCAGGGAGTTTTAAAAGGGAAAGGGAACCAAGCAGCAAGAAACCAAGGCCAGCTTCACAAGAACTGTTTTTTGGCCCTGGGCGAAATAAAGAAATCTTAATTTCATCTCTCTCTCTCTCTCCCGAGTCCATAGCAGAACCTGTCAAAGTAATTTAAGCCCTGCGTTTTCAAATGCAATGTGTGCCATGCCATAAAACCCTGCGTTTGCGTTCAAAGAAATCTTTAATCGTGGGTTTCCTTGCATGCATCTTGCATGGGAGACAGTTGCAAACGGTGACAAGCCCCTGTCAGTTTCAAAGAATGAGGGCGGGGGGGGGAGGACTGACTAATCAATTGAGCACCCAAGAAAGCAGATTCCTTGCTTTTTAAAAAAAACAAACAAAAAAACCCTGACTTATGCCTTAATAGATATTGCCTTTGTGGTCTCTTGAATCGCTCGATCTACACTGAAGAAGGTTTTGAAAAATCATCACCATACAGCTCTCTTCGCCTTCCTGCACCACTATAAATATTTGCGGGGGGGGGGGAGGAGCGGGTAAAAACAGCAACAAGTCATTTGACTCCCGGGGCTCCGGAGATGCTCCATTATTACGCGTTGCTCTGACAGACCTTCCTCCCCTTTCCGGCCCTCGCCTTTGCCAAACACAGACACACACACACAAACACACACAAGATGCACAGAAGACAGAGGTCGCGTTTTGCACACAGATTTTGCAGAGCTGCTCTTGCCCCCCCCTCCAACCAAAATAAGCACCCCCAGCAAAGATTTACCTCAGCAGCAGAGCATGTTGCAAATCAGTTCCATCACCCTTGTTTGTTTGTTTTGTTAATGAGCTTCTTTAAGCCCCCCTTTCTTCCCCCCTCCCTCCCTTCCTTTCCTTTCCTCCTCTCCTCCTGCGCGTAACGCTCCTATGTTTGCGCGCCGCAGTTGGTTATGGAAACTAAGGCAGTGGATCTGTAGCTAAGGGTAATCCTGCATGGTTTTTTTTTTTTACTTCCTCCATCTTCAGAGAGCAGGGTTAGCCTGGGACAGCTGGTCAAACCCCGAGAAACCGATCCCGGGAACTCAGGCGCGCACAGGCGCAGCTGCACACATCCTCCCGGCGCACATCTCTCGCCAGGCGCCGGCGAGGGAGGAGACGGAGAGAGAGCGAGAGCGCGAGGCCGGGCGCTCCGCGGAGCCGCTCAGCAGACTCGGCAATCGATTGCAGGACAAGGGCTCAGCTGCTGCTGCTGCTCCCGCCGCCCGCGCCTCGGCCAGGCGGCTCCTCCGGCACCCAGAGGTGCCGGGCGGATCGCGGAGCCTCCTTGGCCAGGCGCGGCCTCCATCTCTCTTTCCCCACCTCCCTCCAGGAGGAAAGCAAGAGCAGCCCGGCCAAGGGGGCCGGGATAAAAGTTGCTGGGGGGGGGGGGTTTGGCTTCCTTCCTGCCTAGCAGGGCTTGGGAGACAGGTGCCTCCTATTTCGGAGCAAGGGTTTCCCGCCCCCCTCCTCCAGCTGATGCTAGGAAGTAAACAAAGAAAGAAACAAGCAAATTGCGTGCGTATTTGTTGGTTGTGTGTGTGTGTGTTGCATGGAAAACCCAGCATCTCATGATGGGGGGGGTATTATTTTTTATTTTATTTATGCATTTATATCCCACCTTTTCCTCCAAGGAGTTCAAGTTGGTATACATAGTCTTTCACCTCCTCATTTAATCCCCACAACAACCCTGAGAGGTAGGTTGGGCTGAAAGGTGGGGCCTGGCAAGGTAACCCAGTGAGTTTCACAGCAGAGCAGAGATTCAAGCCCTGGTCTCCCAGCTTCCTAGTCCAGCGCTCCAACCACTGCACCACGCTGCTCAATCTCAGAGGCACCCTCCTTTTAGTACTTCTGCTGTTCAAGTGGTAACTGGCAATAAAAACGGGGGAAATGGGTGCATTTGTAGTTGCTGTGCATCAGTCGTCAGAGCAGGTCTCCTCAGAAATCAGCCCCTTGGTGTTAAATTGGGTTTACTCCTGGGAAAATGTGCATAGGATTTCAGCAGCTGCCTTTGCTGGGAAACAGGAATTCTCATTAGGCCTAAAACATTTAATTGAGTATATTGGTTAGATTAATCAATTTTAATTTGTTGGATTAATTTGGCCTCCAGTTCTTGATTGAAAAATACTATTAATCCAAGTATTTTTAAAAATTGCAGAGGGCAAGCACCAGTTTTAAAAAGCTTTCTTCCATTTATCTTACTTAGGAGATTATGCCTCTTATTTCTTATTATTCATTACAATTATATCCTGTTTACAAGTCCTTCCAAGGCAGCTGACAAGAAACATTACAGTGAATTTTTAAAATTACACAATCAACAGTACACTAGAGAGTGTTGAACTATGACCTGGGAGACCAGGATTCAAATCCCTGCTCAAATGCCAGGACGCTCCCTGTGTGCTCCTGGGTCAGTCAGTGCCTCAGCCTAACTTAGCAGAGTAAGGAGAAGATCCATGTGTAGGAGCAACAGCTCTAAGTTTGTACATCCTATGACATGTAAATCATTTTAAAGCAAATTATGTTACTTCACATTATGTTACTTCAGAACTATTGATCCCGCAACTTGGGATTTGGATCAGCTAAGATAACTGTAATTGGGTGGTAAAGGGACCCCTGACCATTAGGTCCAGTCGCGGATGACTGGGGTTGTGGCGCTCATCTCGCTTTATTGGCCGAGGGAGCCAGCGTTTGTCCGGGTCATGTGGCCAGCATGACTGAGCTGCTTCTGCAAACCAGAGCAGAGCACGGAAACTCTGTTTACCTTCCCACTGGAGCGGTACCTATTTATCTACTTGCACTTTGATGTGCTTTCAAACTGCTAGGTTGGCAGGAGCAGGGACTGAGCAACGGGAGCTCACCCCATCGTGGGGATTCGAACCGCCGACCTTCTGATCGGCAAGTCCTAGGTTCTGTGGTTTAACCCACAGCGCCACCTGCATTTTTGATAGGCCATCACAAAACTTGCCTTGGACACAGGTCTAGAAAAAGAAAAGTGTAGAGGCCTTCCTCGCAGGACTGATGCCAAAGCTACAATCCTAATATTCCTATTTGGAAGGATGTCCTTCTGAAGTCAAGGGGACTTACTTTAAATTAAGTATAATTAGGCTCAGGATGCAAATGAGATGAGTAAATTTATGCAACTGCTTAGAATATTTGAAATGAGATAGAATATGAATATAAATACATAAAAGACACACACATACAGTGCTTTTTAAAACCAAAATGCTCTCAGAAATTGTTCTGGAAATTCTCATTTGTGAATGTCAATGTGAAATATTAACCAGGTATTTTCTGAGTGCTCTCTTGTTTATCAAACTTTTGACGTGCAAGTATACTGCATTTCAATATTTGATATTTGAGTGTTGATACTTGGCAGTATTTGATAGCTGACATGCAACAACATTAAATATTTGACATTAATGGTGGATCATACATCATCATGGCTTTCAGGCTTTCTATCATCACATAGCACTTTCTCCACAGACGTGTCTGTCAAGGAACACCTATGCATTTCTTGAATGCTGCTCTATGTTCTTTTGTTTTTGTTTTTCTAAAAAAAAAAGTCTGCAAGTAGGAAACCAGTGAGGAAGGTACTAATTGTGCTAGAACCTTTCAACTCTCACCTGAAACTGGCACCATCCACTTCACTACTTCA